TTTATTTTTGTATAATTGGTAAAATACTTGCATATGCATTTTTTTTACCTTATGTTACTTTCATTTTACGAATTTTTAACAACTTTTTTTTTTTTACATTAACCCTATTGCTATCACAGGGGGCTGACTCCCTATGTAATAGCAGATAGGGTGTGACAGGTTATCTTTATGGAGACATCGTGGGTCTTTCAGACCCCTAATGTCACCTAGGGACCCCAAAGATCTGCTTCCCCAGCTTAATCTCCTGGCTCTAAGAGCCGGAGACTAATAAGTGACACCGGAAGTGATGTAATGCAACTCCTGGGTCCAGTGATCGGAGGCGAAATCAGTGGCAGGAAGCAGCTGAATCTCTCTCCGGTCATTGCGGGGAGAACCGCCGAGCCACTCCCGGGCACGGGGACAGCGGTGCCCGGGGAATTCAACGGCGGGGGAGGGCAGGGCGCCGTACGGTACAAACGGCTGTACAGATGCCGGATCGCATGTGCATTAACGGCAATCTTCTGCTGTTAAAAACGATATCAAGAACACGGCTGCTGCAGCAGCCATGTTCTTGTTTTAACCACTTCTGCGGGCCGCCGTCTATATACTTATTGCGGCCTGGAAGTGGTTAAGAGTACTGATAGAAATGGATTTATCCCCGTGGGGAGCTGCAACCATCATAAGTAGGTTGGAAATGTTCCTAAAGGTCAGTTTATGAGGGTGAGGAGAAATTGCACTTTGGAAGTAGAGTATAACACAAGCTAAAATATTTAGAGAAAAGGAATACAGGGAAAAGGAAGTACTGTTAAGAATATCGTAGGGGAAATGAAAAAGGGAAAGTCTCTTGGAGGTTAAAAAGGTTATGGGGAATACCAACTACCCTTTATCCTTTAATACCAATTTTACTGCCCAATACAAGGAGTTTGAGAAATATATAAACATTGGAATATTTTAAAAATGGATAGAGTATTGGGTCTTTTGATCCCAAATAAGCCCCGGGTAATTTATAGGAGAGCCCCAACCTTTAGAGATATAATAGTGCAGAGTGTGGTGGTAAAGTTATTTTGGGAGTGTTGGATTTTATCCATATAGAAAGTATATACCCTGTAGGGTGACTAAAATGAAGAGACGTGGAAAGATAACTCATTTTGGCAAGTCTAATGGAAGGTGGTTTGAAATAAAGGATTTTATTTCGTGCCATACAACTTATGTAACTGATGTGTTGGAATTACCTCGTGGCTTCCAATATGTAGGTAGAACTACAAGAGTGCGGAGAATTAGAGAACATATAAATACCAAAAATGGATTCGACAAACAGTGTCTAAACACTTCAAGGAGGTTCATAATTAAGAGCCAACATTGTTGACCTTCTATTGTGTGGAGAGGTACTAATAAAACGAGGGTGGCCTCTCAAACGAAACTAAGCGGATCTTTCTGCTAGATACATTACAACCAAAAGAGTTAAACATCGAGCCAGATTCAAATTGTTAGCAATAGCTGAACTGAAGTGGTTTTAAGTAACATGCAGGCATTTTAGTTTATATATTTTTATATTTACGAATAAAAAGCTTTTTATTCGTAAATTAGGAGATGTAATATGAGGTGAGGATTGCTTAAAGTACATTTCCACCTTTTTTGTTGGGCATTTAAAAAAAAAAAACACATGCCAGCATATGCAGATCCTGGATATAAGCACAAAAACATACTTTTTTTTTTTTTTTTTTAGTTGTCCTCTTAGGCTCCACCTGTTTTTTTTATTTTATTTTTTTTAAATGGCTGCCAGACAGCTTTGTACAGTGTAGGGAGTGGAGAAACTCCTTTTTCCGCAATGCTTTGCTTCTCTCGTGCACATGCATTCATTAATAATCATAGTGGTACCACCCCCTGGGCAGTGCAGAGTGACAGAGTTTTTGTTTTTTAACCTGTGGCTACAGTTGGAGAATTGTTGTAAGTGATTGCTAAAGAAATCCGTTCTATTTCGTCTCCAGTAATCGCTCAGAACAAAGTATAATGGATTTCTTTAGCAACATCCCTGGTGACACTGCACCTCTCCGGTACGCCACCCAGTGGGGGAATATATAACTGGAGCAGACAAAATCTGGAGCATATTTGCACTGCACCCAATCAGCATCTCTCTCATTTTCAAATCTTGCCTGAGCAAACTGAAGAGAGATGCTGATTGGTTGCCATGGGCAACTGTTCCAGATTCTATTGGCTCCAGTTTTGATAAATTGCCCCCATTGCTTTTTTTTATTTATTTGTTCAGTCATCGGTACATGACAAGAATGGTGGCGGAGAGGGGGGCACATTGAGGAACCTGGACTTGGGGCAGCAGAGAGACTAAATCTGCACCTGGAGAGGGAGAGATCTGAGAGAGACACACAGAACACAGTGACGGAGAGAAAGTCTAGAGAGACAACATGTGCAGGTGATCTTTATAACACACAGATCTATGATGAGATGTGATGACCCATAAGGAGTTCTTTCTGCTCTCTCCTCAGTTCATGAGGAGGGGTCAGCGGAGTGAGCTCAGCAGAGAGGAGTCAGCTGATTGCACTTTACAAATAACAACCCGACCTGATTGAAGATCCTGTGGAGGGAATTTTGAATTTCTAGGACTCTGGCCTCCTGAAGGCGTTAAGTAAATGAAGTATGCAAAACAGCACTGTGATTCCTGACCAAGTAGACACACATCACCCGCACCTCTAAATTACCACAAACACATCACTTACAAAGGTGGAAATGTCCTTTTTAAAAAATAGCTTGGGGTCCAAATTGACTGAATTCCTTGGCCACCTGCTGTGACACGTTCCTCTTCCAGGTTTATACGGGGCTGTAGAACTTAGTTGTTGAATTTAAAAACAATGTTTCAGTGTCACCAGACCTTATTTTATCAGTGCATTATTTATTCTATTTTTGAGAGTTCTTATTTGATATGGTCAAACATGTCTTATAGACACAGGAAAATTTCCTCTCCAGGTTGTCCCAGTTGAATTTCAACACAATAGATGATAATTTAGTGTTTGGCATTTGACCTTACTCTGGCAGCCATCTTGTTCACTTCTATACAGGTCATAGGATATTTGTGATCTACTATGAAACTGTTTAACAATTGGTACCATTTTAGAAAAGACCTAACAGCAACATGTGTAGTGAGTGAACATTTGTACCTTGATTTGGAGCATGTATTTAGATGTAGAAGGTAGGTAGCTGGTTACCGGTCTAGCTAGTCACCAGTGATTTTGCTAATGCAAGTTGCAATAGTGTTCTAGAATGGGCTTATTTTAGAGCATGACCAGAATATGTGGGCATGTGTGCCATTTCCATATTTGCATGGCCAGCAGAGTGCGAGACTAAAGTTAGGGGTACAGACTGATCATGTTTCGACTGATTTAGCAAGAATCGGCCAAAATTCACTCAGTGTGTACCATAATTCACTCCGTGTGTACCCGATTCTATCTGCAGAAGTCAATTATGATGGACTTTTACCGAAGGAAAATGTCAAAAGTTTCGGCCGAATGGTGCTTGCAGCCAATCAGCGGCCACTGTCAGAATATAGTGTAAACATTAAGGGGTTCGTTCTGTGCGCTCCTCCGTTCCCCTTAGACTTCCGACCTCAATGCTCCAGAAGTGCATGCTATTTCTGTCTGCCGCTCTCTTTGACTATATGTCCTATAATTGCTCCCACTGCGCACGCGTCTAATCACTGACTACCTCGCTGGTTACTCCTCCATACCCAAATCAGCAGAGGAGACGTGAGCACTTCATGCGTCCTCACCTCCTTGTTCTCGGCGGGAGCAAGCACGGAGGGTGGCTACTTTTCAGCCCATAGGGACCATGGAGACAAAAAAAATAGCCACCCTCTGACAGGAAGTTGTGAAACAGGAGAAACAAATCATTGTTTAAATTGAGCTAGTTCTATTTTAAATGCTTCTATAATGAACTTCATTTTATTTAATGTGGGTTTAGTTTCGCTTTAAAGGAGAAGTATTGGGTTAAGTCTTTTTCCCATAGTTCTCAGGGTAACGGGAGGACACAAACTAGCGTCCTCCCATCACCCTAGGCTCAGTATACCGCGAGCTGTTGCTCGCGGTATACTGAGACGGTATACTGAGGCGCTGTACCAGCCCCCTCTCCCGTCCGATCCACCAGTCAGCGCTGGCGGAGGGGGGAATCCAGCCCCTCCCCTGTCACGGCAGAGAGCCGTGACAGGATTGAGAGGTGAGCGAACGCCAGTATGTGTTCGCTCACCTCCCGATCTACTGAGCCGACCTGTGACAGTCTCATTGTCACAGGTCGGCTAGAACTATGAGGTGAGTGAAAAGCACTCACCTCATAGTTCTCCTTTTTAAGGGTATATTTTGTGTAAGAGTATTTACTTCCTAGGGAGTATTCGTGCTCTACGTCAGCGTAACTCAATCAGAAGCCCCCTTCATATCGGAGAGCGGTAGGCAGGGCAGGCCTGGATGGATGTTAACTTCCATCCGCATCGATCCCTCCAACCCTGGGCTAGCGCCATTTGTTTCAATGATGCTGGTGGCCGGCCTGCCTGGACCATGAAAAGGCACAGCACTGTGGGGAAAAAACTCAAGGCACCTTGGTTGAAAATGGCTGGTGTAGCTTATGCCATGATCCTGACTAACCTAAAGTTGGCCCTTTTCGGTTAAACATGTATTTATACTTGAAACACCTTGATTGCAGTTGGTCTCCATTTAAGTAACAATGTGGCTTTGGAAAAGAACGGACTGCACCGTTGAAGTGTCATATTAAAGATGTTGTGTACATATGCAATCAGTTGTGTTTTTTCACTGTAATTTATTTTAAGCTCTTCATACATCTGTTTTACTTTGACATGAGATTTCTTTTGAGAAATGCCAACAAAACCAAATTAAATGCATTGTGATTCAGTTTTCTATGACAATACAATTTGGAAACTTCCAAGTTTGTGACATTTATAAGCTGCAAATAAGTATGCCGGAATAGAGTGCAATTGATAATGTTGTACAATTTTTTGTTTTTAGATGGCAGTAACTGAGGCAGATGGTTTCCAGGCGGATACAGAAGATGATGATGATGATGATGATGATGACGACGACTGCATGATTGTAGAGGAACAGCTCCAGAGAGGTGTGCATTTAACTTTAGGCTCCTTTCACACTGGAGCGGCTGTCTGCGTGTATTCGGCTGTTTGAATCCGTGCAGTTTCACGTACTACGTTTGTGTCTCGTGCAGTCTTACGCGTGGGAAACGCAAACACTATATGTTAATGGCGCTTAAGACTATTTTCTGAAAGCCTTGATGCCTGTCACTGTTTCCCAAGTAACATGTTTCTTCCACTCATAGGACACAGCAAAGATCAGAAGGCCACTGGGTTATACTGCCACCTGCAAGAGTAGGACGCTATGCACAAAACAAGAGAGCTGGTGGCCAACCCCCATGTGCGAACACTGCCTCAATGTTTTGCCTAGCATCGAGGAGTAAGGACGTCAGAATACCTGCTGGGATTCTTCTTTACCTTTTTTCTGCTTTCCTGTGGATTTTTTTTTCTCTGAAATATGGAAATCTTCAATCAACAGCAGGCTGGGTGAAAAGCTGGAGATATATATATATCCTTGTAGTCTTCCCCCCAGTCATGCCAACAAGTGCATTAATTTCCTTTCTATGACGGATTTGGCTGCGAGAGCTCTGTGCCATTGGAACGGCCTGTGAGAAGTTTCTCTGGGAACACACATGACCGGCCAGTCAGTGTGCCCTTACAGGCGGACGATACTGTGGTCCTGGCTAGAGGTTCCCATCCTTTCTCCTGTTAGACTGGTTATGGAGTCAAGCTTCCCCCTCACCTGGGTATTACCTAGTGTCCGGGAGACTATGTGTCTTGGGGTATGCAGTTGGCCCCCTGAAGTGTTGGTAGCTTCACTGCCTTGGTGGTAGCAGGCTGATGGCATTTTATTTGGATGGCGGTGTGCACTGTGGTTTCTTCACTGCACGAAAGGTCTGGTCAGGAGTCTACCGTTCGGTCAGCCTACCGTGGTAAGGCTGACCGTTTTGTTCTGTGGGAGCTCGCCTACCTGGTCATAATTGTGCATTCGTCGCCATGTCCTCTACACCCACCCCCCTGATTGCCTCTGCCTCGATGCATCCAGATCCACCAGTACCACCTTTGTCCTTGGAAGTGTGTTCTTCGGCCATGGACAGTTTTGTTGCATGTATTGAGCGTGCGCTGTCCAACACTGTGGTCTTTAAACTTTGCACCCCTGCTTTCCCCTCGTCAGTGTCCAATGTTGAGACTGCCCCGGCGGAGATTGATGACCCCAATACTTCGGATGTCGACCATGAGTTGTCAAGTAGCAAGGAGAAGGCTTCTGCTTAGGTGATCCTTAAGGAAAAGGAACTAGTTTCTGCCTTGATTAATTCTATAAGGGAAACTCTTAAGATTGAGGATGTTCCCGGTACTTCTGGGGAAGCTCTGATACCATTTGATACCTGCAAGGTTCGTTGTTAAACCAAGCTTCATCCTTATTCCTTTTTCGATAAGGAATAAGGATGAAGCTTTTCGATTCACTATCTTTTTTTACAATTGACACAAATGACTGAGGAGCGCTACTACACTATGGGAGTGCTATCAGCACCCTAGTGTGGCTAGCAGTGTGAAACAGAAAAAGTAATGGGTGACTTACAGTTAGGATATCAGCAGACGTGCCTGAAGGTCCCCTGTGGAGTGGCGTCCGGGGTCTTTGTCATTTCCTTTGGGCAAATTGCAAGGGATGGATGGCTGCCGGACCGGAACTTGAGTGTGATGTGTAGACCAGGCTCACGTACTCGGCTGGCCAGGCCGAGCCGCGTGGCTCGAGGGGGAAGAGATGACCCGCTGATGGCTCTAGGATACAACCCGCCGTGTGTCCCCCACGCCTTGTCGGAGACTACTGTCGGGAGTGCACCAGGTGCTGTGGGTCAGTAACAGTGACAGAGGGAGGTGTGATTGGAGTCGGCTACGCGTTTAGAGGGATATCCTTTATCAAGCCTCGGAGTCATTTTTTTTAATGTTGGCGACTCCACATTCCATGGATGCTTCAATTTGTAGACTCAACAAGGCAACGATTATTCCGGTTCCAGATTCTCAATCCGTCAGGGACCCAACGGACAGGAAGGCTGAGGTGATTTTCAGGACAAAGTTCACCGTTGCTGGAACCTTGCTTCTTCCTGTTTTGGCATCTGCTTTCGTGTTGCAGACGTTGATGGAATGGGCAAAGCGTTTCATGCTGGTCTGGCTATCAATAATGTCTCCCCTGCTTATGTGGATCTGGCAGATTAACTTGTCAGGGTCTCCAGTATCTATGTAATGCTGTTTTAGATGCTGCTCTGGTGTCTGAACATCTTGGTATCAGCGGTGGTCCTTAGGAGGCTTTTGTGGCTTAAATGTTGGTCGACGGATCAGGCTTCCAAGAAAGCACGGTAAGTCCTCAAAGCCTATCTTCCCCTGTGTCTAAGCACCCTTGGCATGCAAAAACTGCTAAGACCTCTGAGAAGCCCTCCTCCGCATTAAGGTTTGCCCCACCTGTGTCGCTGGGGGGGGGGGGGGGGGTAATTTTCTACGTTTTTAGTCTTTGGCCTTCTTGCATTTCAGATCAGTGGGCCCACGTGTTTGTGGTATCTGGTATATCTGGTTGTGGTAGCTCTCTAAAGGTTGAACTCAATGGACATGTGTCTTTTTTCAACCTGACTAACTATGGCTACAAGATGGTTTCTAACTTGTCCTCCGGACCATTTTTTTTTGCGTACAACCTTCAACACTCCCCAGCGGCTCCAGGATCTTCCCATGGCGATTGCCGAGTTGCTCATCCAAGAGGTTATTGTTCCAGTTCTCCCCTCCAAAAGATTCAGGGGGTTTTATTCAAACCTAATTACAATTACAAATGCTAATCCAGCAAACTGTACACATCCCCCTGCCTGCCTACCTTTCTCAGCTTCCAGGCAGACTGAACTACTGAGCCTATTTGATATCAATCCACCGCGCTGGGGTGGCTTGATATCTCCTGCACTCAGTCCTGCAGGCCGGGACTTTAACTTGCTTGTCGGGACCTGCAGCTCCTGATATCATTCCGCCGGCCGAAATTGAGAAAATAGTCCCCTCTCTTCCCGGGCCCTATTACTTCAGCGGGGGGAATAGGGGGTAGATTCGCAACACTGAGTTCCCTTAGACTGACAGAAAATCCCCCCCTCTGTGTCTCTCTACTGAAGATGGGCTGCTCCATGCAGGAAGGGGGGGCGGGAAATAGGGGATAGATTCGCAACACGGAGTTCCCTTGTACTGACAGAAAATCCCCCCCTCTGTGTCTCCCTACTGAAGATGGGCTGCTCCATGCAGGAAGGGGCGCCGCGACCCACTTTTGGGTCGAGACCCATGAGTTGAGAACCACTGCTCTAAACGGTTCCCAAGAAAAATTGCATTCGTCCCATTCTGGACCTCAAAGCTCTTAACAAGTTTGTGCGTGTTCAGGATTGAATCCATCCGTTTTGTGGCAGCTTTCTTGCATCAGGAGCACATGGTGTCCATTGACATAAAGGATCCCTACCTTCATGGTACAGTTGCCTAAGTCATCAGAAATTACGTTTTGCTGTGGGAGAGGATCAGTACCAATTTGTGACAGTCTTTCCGGCTGGCGTTGGCTCCGGTTTGAGTCTTACTCGGACTTCTCTGAATCTAAGTGGTGTCCTACTTGGACGTTCTGCTGCTATGGGCAGAGTTGTCTGAAATGGAGACCAATCTGTGCATAACCGTGAGCATGTTACGGGATTTCGGGTGGATTCTGAATCTAAAAAAGTCTGCCGTGGTTCCTTGTTGTCTGGAGTATCTGAGCCTGGTACCGGATACTTCTCTTGCCAGGGTTTTTCTGCCTCCTGAGAAACTTCAAAAACTGGTCCCATATTGGTCAGTTGCATCTTTGCAGATGGGTCCCGATTCGTGTCTGCATGCAGATGCTAGGCCTGATGGTGGCCTCCTTCGAGGTGCTGTTACCCACCTAAGTGGTTCTACAATGCAAGATTATCTTGAAGTGGAACAAGTTGCCTTGGTCCTTGGACAGGGATATTCGGTCGGTGAGGGCCTCCCTGCTGTGTTGGCTTCGGTCTCCGATGTTGCTGTCTGGGAAGTAATTTTAGCTTTGCTGGACGATGGTGATGGATGCCAGTCTCCGTGGATGGGTAGACGTGTTGGGTCCATTGTCGACTTATCCCATCAATGTGTTGGTGCTTCATACGATTTGCCTCTCCCTTTGCTACTGGACAGTTCAGTGACATAGGCAACTGTTTCAGATCCAGTCAGACAATGCCACGGCTGTGACATATGTCAACCAACAAGGGGGGCACCAGAAGCGTGGGAGTAGTGGCAGAGTTCTCTCCCATTATTCATTGAGCAGAGGAGCACATTCCAGCTCTTTGTATGGTGTACATCCCCGGAGTGGACAACTGGCAGGTGGACTATCTTAGCCATCAAGAAGAATAGTCTCTTTATCCAGAGGTTTTTAATCATCTGTGCCCTTGGGTGAGGGACTCCGGATGTGGATCTATTAGCGCCTCGGCTCAATCGCAAGGTGGATTAATTTCTTGCCAGGTCGAGGAACCCATTGTCGAGGCGACTGATGCATTGATGGCGCCAGTGGACATGTACAATCTGATTTATGCGTTTCCACCCTTAAAGCTTTGGTCTCCTACTTCGCAGGATCGAGGAAGAAATTATTCTGGTGGCTCCAGATTGGCCTCGCACACCTTGATGAGTGGATCTTATTCGGCTCGTTGCACGTTGATTCCTAACATATTGAAAACTCTTAAGACTGTCCCGTAGGATTTATCGTACGTGGAAGGCCTTTTTTAGCCTGATGCTAGTCTTTGTCGGTGTCTCCGCATTCTTAATCAGTGGCCGGGAACCTCTTTTTCCTTCAGTGCGGGGTGTACCAGGCTTGCCCTTGTACTATCAAGTGACCCTTATTCCTTGGTGCATACTGTTGTGCAAATTCGCCTCACAATTTTCCCTCTGGTAGTGCTGTGGGATCTAAATTTGGTGCTTTATTTTGCAGAGATCTCCCTTTTGAAATATGCATGATATTCCTTTATAAATTTGTCTACGGCAGTTGCCTTTTTGGTGGCTATTACCTCTGCACGCATGGTTTGACTTGGCAGCCTTATCCTGTAAATC